CTCTACCAGTACCAATTTACTGTATTAGTCCATTTTCATATTGCTATGAAGAAATACTCAAGATTAGGTAATTTACAAAGAAAAAGATTTAATGGATTTGCACTTCCACATTGCTGGGGAGGCCTCACAATCATGGTGGAAGGTGAAGGAGGAGCAAAGGCAAATCTTACCTGGTGGCAGACAAGAGAGAGCACGTGCAGGGGAACTGCCCTTTATAAAACCATCAGATCTTTTGAGAATTATTAACTGTCAAAAGAACAGCACAGTAGAACCTGCCCCCATGATTCAATCACTACCCACCAGGTCTATATTCTTCACCAATCTTTCAATAGATCATCACTTGAAGTGATTTTCTAGGGATTATGGGAGCTACAATTCAGGGTGAGAGTTGGGTGGGGACACAGCCAAACCATATTAGAAAGGAAAATAGCAAGAGAAATTGAGAAAAATTATTGGAGATATAGGAAGAATATCAAATTGACATAGTTTCTCTGGAACTCAAAGAATAAATGGTTCAATAGAATAATTGATAAAACCATGTACTGACTGCAGTTTTTTAATATCAACCACTACATTTGCAACTAGGAGATTATTTACAAAATTTTGAATATTAATTTAGTGATATGAATAAAAATCATGTTATAGAGTCAATGAAAGCAAGCAATTTGGAAATAAAAAAGAGGGAAGGAGGAAGAAAGATAGTCATTAAGAAATAAAAGCACAAAATAGGAGAGAATGGGGGTACAGTTGTGGAAGAGGAGATATAATTGATTTTTTCAAAAAAATATAAAAAAGGAAGTCATTAGAGAAAGCAGAGACAGAATTGGGGGCTTGGATGGTTATAAATACCCCAGCATATTTACACACCTATTTATAGCCATAAGCTTTGAAATGACTTTTTTTTTTTTTTTTCTTTTTCAACAGATTTGAATATAAAAGCAACAGACTTACAAGGTATGGCAGGCTGTTGAGAGTTTTCATTGAAATTGGCAGGAACATTGGGAACCAGCTGTTGGTGTAGGTAGATCATTTAAAGTAGTTTAAACACTAAGGGATAACTCTAAGACTCTGTGCTTCAGATCATGAGAACTTCCTAAGTATTCTTTCCAAGAAAATTATATGTATTTTAGATATAGAATTACTTATCAGCTGTTGTGCAGCTTTTCTTTTCTTTATGATGTATTTTGTTAGTGGATTAAGGAAAGCAATGTGTATTCTGAAACTGGTTATTATAATGATTATTCAATATGTAAAAGATGATAAAGGGAGGTCCTGATATTTCACTTACTGAATTGGTAAAAGTACATTTTACTAAAATTTCTATGTAACATGTTATTATAAACTCTAATACTTACAGAAAATTATATCCCTAGATATATGAATGGAAGTCACTTGCAGTAAGCTCTAGGGAATGAGTTTTTCAGGGATAGTGTAGAACTACCTTTTCTTTTAAGCATCTGCAGATTCTTATAAAACTCTTCAGTAAAACCTCACATTTGCTAGGTTGCTTCTAGGTGTCCTCACTTCCACGGACAGTCTATCAGAATTTTTGTATTCCTCTACATCAGTGGCTCCACTTCAAGAATTCCAATGGCAGCACTTTGTATATTAGCTGTACATTAATGTTAAGAGTGTTGAGTTCTAAAATCAGATTGCTTAAATTCAAATCCTGGTTCCACTTAGTCACTTTCAAAGCTGAATGACTTTGGGAAAGTCATTGAATGTATCTGTACCTCAATTCAGAATAGTTCCGACTGTTCATGTAGAACTCTTTTGAGGCCTCCATTAGAAAAGCCTCAGATAACACTTTTAAAATACTTAAAGTATTATCTGACATACAGGAAGAACTTCATAATTATAGTCATTTTCTGTTATATGCTCCTTCTCCTTATATAATAGACAACACTTTCTAATATTGTAACTGGACACCAGATAAATGGTATAGAAAAGTAAATCTCTCACAATGTAAAAATGTAGTGTTCAAAATACTAAGTGTGTGAAAAGAAAAAAAAGTAAATTCTGATGATGCTTTAACAAGGGACCTATTAGCCTGTCAGCAAGAGAAGATTGTTGTCAGCCTGCGTTTGTACTGCCTTAAACTTTTATTTTCCCTTAAATTACGTAGAATGACTAGAAATAACTAGGTGACTGGGATGCCACTACTACTTCTTTTCTAATACTTAAAATTTGAAAATGGCATTGCTTAACCTTTGGCTTATAAATGATTTCTTAAGATCACCAAATCCTAAACTAAGGTGAAGATTTTTGTTTCCAATTTCAAACCATTTTGTATGCTACTAGGGAGCACACACAGAATATCCCTATAGTACTTTGCAACACAAAAACAGAATTTCTGGTGTCAGGAATGACAGAATACCATTTGGACTGGGAAACCCTGTGGGTAATTTCATTTCCATTTGCTAGTGAAGCAGAAAAATCAACACGTTGTGTGTCAGAGTACAATGAGAAATACTTCTTGGCAGTTTGAAATTCAGTCACTGGTGAGGGGGGAAATATCTGAAGCAGGCTGTCAAGGTGTAACGTCACATAGATGTTTGGTTTAAAGTAGGCAGGTAGTCTGCATTTCGATATTATCAGCTGCATTTCGATATTATCAGAGATAGAAAGGGCCCTTTAGTTTGACCCAAATGCCTTAGGGAATTATAGCTCCTGTGAAATCTGATGCTCTGATGGCTGATTGTCAAGTCTGAAAATGAAGTAAGCCTTAAAGTCTTCTCTTTGAACATTTCTACCCTGCTTGGATTATATGAAGATGGAAAAAGGATACTGGTAAAGAGGGAAAATAGCCATTCTGGAAATTTACACTGAAGTAAAGAAGAATTTTTCAATTAGCAGGACATCTAGTAGTAACATGATAATTCCAAGTTTAGTAGGTTGACTCCTAGTTTGATCTGTGAATAGTGTTTTGCTTTTATATTTTACTGAATGAGAAGATAATCATGACAACTTAAAATAGATATTTAAATATTAAAGACAAATCCCTTGTCATTTGTCTGTACTATTTCATGATTTTTTAATTTATACTTTTGCAGATAGGATTGTTTATTACAAAATAACAGATGCTAATTGTAAATAAAAGAACTCATACTAGGAAATGTTATAAACCTAAATAAGAGTATTTCTTCATTATCACCAAAAATTTTACTTTCTAGAGCTAACCACAATAAAAATTGTGGTTTGTATACTTACAATTAATAAAAGTTAAATGCCATATATTGGTACACACAACGTACACATACATCAAAATAGATTCTGTGATGGCAAAATAGACTGTTATGTGAGTTGCTGTTAAAAGTACATTCCATGTTAACATATGCAATTTCATAGTTACAGTGGAGAAGATAAAGTAATAATTTTTAAGTATGTTTGCATACTGTTTCCAACTTTTGTAGAAGAGAGGAATTATTATATATAATGCTGCAGTGAACATACAGTTGCTTATTTTTTTACATAAGACTTTAGCCTTGGAATTGTTAGAACAAGACAGCATGTTCAAATTATTGAGAGATAATGCAAAATTGTCTCACAAAGAAATTGTGCTAAATTACTTTCTCACCAATATTATTGTCAATGTTGTGTGGTATTAATCTCTCTAATTATTATCAGTCTTATATATTAATGTTTTTATTGTTATATTAATTTGAATTAATTTGATTACTGATCATGAACACACTTTTACATATTGGTTTTTACTTTTTCCATTGCCAAATGTTTATAACCTTTGTCTAACTTTTCTTTTGAAATTATTTTTCTTGTTCAGTTAAGATGTATATACTTAAACTTCTTTATACAGTAAAAATATTTATCTATTTTTATTTTTTCTGGCTTATCTATTGTTTATGATTACAATATAGTTTTCTATACAGATATCTTACTTTAATGTACACAAGTCAATTTCATTCTATTGTGACTTCTTGTTTTTTCTGTTATACTTAAGTTATCTCCATTCTTACTAAACTTAAATGACTTTTTAAAGTTATCTATTATCTTTCACCTATCAATTCCCAAATATAAAAAAGTTCTTTTCTAAATCCTCAGTTCTCTTTTATAGATGCATTTACCTATTTTTTACCATAACCATGGTATTCTTATTTCAGTAGCTGTGTGTGTGTGTGTGTGTGTGTGCGCGCGCACATAAATGTGTGCATATAAGTGCATGGTAGATATGAAAAGCCCCTTCATATATTTTTTCTCAGTAAAAAATAATCTTGGCTATTTTTGCACATTTAATTTTTCTGAATATATTTTAGTTCATTATTCCAAATATACACTGCCTTGTTTTGTAATTAGTGACTATCTTTATAATATTAACTGTACCAATATAGAAAAATGACATACAAAATCATTCTGTGGAAGTTTATATATTTCTGTTATATTTTATAGTTATTTTAAAGTTTTTGCAGTATTGGTTGCGATAATAATCTTATTTCTGTGTGTCTTTCCTACAAATTATAAGTTGATTCATGAAGATTTTTAATTAGATAATAGCGTTGCCTTCAAATAATCTTTTTTAAAATGTATTTTTTCCTTTTTAATTTATTGAATAGAATCTAACAGAATATTTTAAAATAATGGTATTTTGGGAGATATTATGCAGCCATAAAAACAGTGAGATTATGTTTTTTGCAGGGACATGGGTGAAGCTGGAGGCATTATCCTTGGCAGACTTACACAGGAGCAGAAAGCCAAATACCACATGTTCTCACTTATAAGTGGAAACTGAATGATGAGAACATGTAGACACATAGAGAGGAACAACACACACTGGGGCCTATTGGAAAGTGGAGGGTGGGAGGAGAGAGAGGATCAAGAAAACCATTTAATGGGTACTAGACTTAATACCTGGATGATGAAATAATCTGTACAATAAGCCTCCATCACACCCATGTACCTAGGTAACAAACCTGCACATGTATTCCTGAACTTAAAAGTTTTTTTAAGTGTAACATACCATTTTTAAAAATAGTATTTTTGGGGGCACGTTCCGAACCGCGGCTGAGGCGGCGGCGGCGGCAAAGGATGCACCCGGCAGGCTTGGCGGCGGCAGCGGCGGCGGGGACGCCCCGGCTGCCCTCAAAGCGGAGGATCCCTGTGTCCCAGCCGGGCATGGCCGACCCCCACCAGCTTTTCGATGACACAAGTTCAACCCAGAGCCGGGGCTATGGGGCCCAGCAGGCACCTGGCAGCCTAGGCTATCCTGCAGCCTCTGCCACGCCCCAGGCAGCCTTCCTGGCTGACCCGGTGTCCAACATGGCCATGGCCTATGGGAGCAGCCTGGCCGCGCAGGGCAAGGAGCTGGTGGATAAGAACATTGACCGCTTCATCCCCGTCACCAAGCTCAAGTATTACTTTGCTGTGGACACCATGTATGTGGGCAGAAAGCTGGGCCTGTTGTTCTTCCCCTACCTGCACCAGGACTGGGAGGTGCAGTACCAACAGGACACCCCGGTGGCCCCCCGCTTTGACGTCAATGCCCCGGACCTCTACATTCCAGGTTTCACCCTTCCTCTACCCTGCACCCTCCTCTCTCTTCCGGGCCTGTCTGGGGTGGGTGTGTGGGTGTCTGGAGGCCCAGGGCAGTTCTTCTTCTGGTGACCAGTGTCTGTGTGTCTGCCTCCCACAGCAATGGCTTTCATCACCTACGTTTTGGTGGCTGGTCTTGCGCTGGGGACCCAGGATAGGTTCTCCCCAGACCTCCTAGGGCTGCAGGCGAGCTCAGCCCTGGCCTGGCTGACCCTGGAAGTGGTGGCCATCCTGCTCAGCCTCTATCTGGTCACTGTCAACACTGACCTCACCACCATCGACCTGGTGGCCTTCTTGGGCTACAAGATGATTGGCGGGGTCCTCATGGGCCTGCTCTTCGGGAAGATTGGCTACTACCTGGTGCTGGGCTGGTGCTGTGTGGCCATCTTTGTGTTCATGATCCGGACCCTGCGGCTGAAGATCTTGGCAGAGGCAGCGGCTGAGGGGGTCCCGGTGCGTGGGGCACGGAACCAGCTGCGCATGTACCTGACCATGGCAGTGGCAGCGGCACAACCTCTGCTCATGTACTGGCTCACCTTCCACCTGGTGCGGTGAGCGGAGCCTCCCGCCGCCGCCGCCGCTGCTGCTGCTGCTGCTGGGAGCCACTGGACTCATCTCCTGCCTGCAGGCCCCAGGGATCCACCCTGTCTGGCCACAGGCGACGCCTCCATCCCATGTCCCGCCCCGCCCCGCCCCCAACCCAAGGTGCTGCGAGATCTCCAGCTGCACAGGCCATCGTCCCAGGGCGTGGCCGCTGTTACAGAAACAATAAACCCTGATGGGCATGGAAAAAAAAAAAAAAAAAAAATAGTATTTTTAATACAATTTAATAAAAATTTTATTGCATATATCCTTTCTCATTTCTGAATTTAATGAAAACTTCTCCATTATGTTAAAAGCAATCACGTTAACTTCTGGGAGACACCTTGTATTGAGGGAAGAAAATTTTATTTTATTTTTTCAGTAATTTTTGTTGAAGTTTGCCAAGACAGGCAATATTGTTATCAGTTAAGTATATGGTATCTAGCCAAGTTTACCTTGTGGCTCAGCCACTCACTGTCTATGAGATGTTATGATTTATTTAAACTTCTTGTGCCTCAATTTCCTTATCTTTAAATAGCCTAATGATTGTACTTATTACATAGAATCATGGTATAATGAAATGAATTGATAAATGTGAGCTAGAACTCAGTAAGTGTTAGGTATTTGTTTACCTTCATCAATCAAAAAAATTGCAAATTGGTTTTGTATTTCTAATTCATTCATGTAATGTAATACATTGGAAGATATCCTAAAGTTTAATAATCCACACATTTCTGGGATTATATGGTTTAGGAATTAAGGAATTATTATTTTAGTTTGGATTTATTTGCTAGTATATTCTCGAAATTTTTACATCAATATCCAAAAATTAGAAAATACAGAGTTTTCTCTTTTTTTATGTATCATTTTCAGGGTCACATATTAGGGTATTGCTTTCCTAGTAGACTGAGTGAGAAATACAGTGGATTTTTTCTTTTGAAATAAAAATTATTGAATTAAGGAAAACTTTTGCCACTAATTAGTTGACTTTTATTTATTTGAATCAAAATTTATGGAACCTATACTATACATTTTTAGCAAGTTATGCTTATAAAAATAGTTTCTATTTTAGTTATTTCTAGAATCAATTAAATATGTATTTATTAAATGTACACTACTTAGTAGGACATTGTTTGGAATAAACAAATGTATATCACACTCTGTTCTGCTCTCAAGAGTAAAGCTCAAGAGAGAAGTAGGTACTGAAATTTTTAAAAAATTGTCTTTGAAACATTTGTATACATGGTGTCAAATTGTTACTTATAAAAATTTGTTGCAGTGTTTATAGTTTCAATTTTATAATTGCATAAAATAAAATTTAGAATGATTAATTTACTTAGTTACTTATCAAATAAATAATACATCAAGGACAAGAATTCAAGCTCGGTTGTCCTCATGAAAGCCCATTATCAGAATATGAATGATAATCAAATAATGAAAAACTGAATATGAATGGCAAAAAATAATGAGAGTACAAAATACAATAATGTTGATTAAGATGGTAAGGTAGCCTCAACAGAGTAACTAGACTCTAAACTTCTGGGAATTAGGTGTATTTTTCACTTATGTTTGGTACTCCAAGAAACAGTAAATATCTGACACATAGTATGCACGTAATCAATGTTGTAGGTGGAATTAATGATTAAATGGTTAGATTAACAATTTTTAAATGATATGTAAACTGTCTATCGTGTAGGATTTTATGAAGCAGAAAATGTTCGATGTAACCCTAGTCAAGAAAATAACATTTTTGATGCTTTATTGTAGTTGGACAGGGAATTCTCAGGTCAGAGGCTTTCGAACCACAGCAACACCATCTTGAGTGAGGGCTAGGAAAAGGAGGCTGGACTTGCTGGGCTGCATTCCCAGAAAGTCAGGCATTCCTAGCCTTTATATGTTTATGGTTAAGGGAACAAATTAATAATGTTTACTAAACAAACCCAGACTTGGGAATATCCTGATATCTGGAGAATAAAGACATTTCTAATTTTACTTTAAATAAGATTGATTCTTGCAAATTATAGTAATTAAGAAAATTAACACTTTATTACAAATCCTTCTTGCAGAGCCTATCTCCCCATATGTATGAGTACTGTACCTAGAGTGGATGCATTCCTCTTTTTACTTTCAGGGACACCCTACTCTGTCTATGGAGTAGCTGTACTTTCACTACTTTACTTTAACAAACTTGCTTTTGCTTTGCACTGTGGACTTGTCCTGAATTCTTTCTTGTGTGAGATCCAAGAACCCTCTCTTGGGGCCTAGATAGGGACCACTTTCCTGTAATACTCATAGTAGAGAAAAAGAATGTGTAAATGAATGGAGCCCATATGGCCTGAGAGTATCTGGGGAATCGGTAGTCATCTAGATTGCTTTGTGTTTGAACTCCAATGCAGTAGAAGTATCCTCCCCCCGCCAAAATAAAATGCTATTTTGGAATGATTGATATGAAAACAATCAAAATACTCTGGGAAAACCCAGAACTTTGTGGGCTGTCATGTCAGACTATTTGCTGCCTCCCATCCTTCTTACTGGTAGAGTTAAGGCCCTCACTTCTTTCAAGTCTCTTTGCTCCACTGTCATTTTCTCAAGGAAACAATCAGCCTATTCACATCTGTAACTCCTCCCCCAACCACCCCAAGTCCATCTTATTCTGGTTTTCTCCGTGTATGTCTTTCTCCTGTAACACTTAATCACTTTTGAATATATTACATTCTTTACTTATTTCATTAATAATTTACTTTGTCTATTATTCTACACCAGAATTTCAGCATGATGAGGGCTCCACTTTGATTACTTGAGTTCTAAGGGATTTACCATGTTCCCAGAATGATACCTAGTACATGTAGGTATTCAGATAGTATTTTGTTGAATTCCTATTTAATAGACAAATAATTTCTGACTCTTACAGTAATTTTCTTGCCTGATTTCTCAAACTCGCTATTGGGTCACCCTCAATCTTTATCTTACTCTAGAAATTGAGCTTCTTAATGCCATTTGATACTTTCTCCTTTTAAGGAAAACTCCAGGTTGTTGACACAAACAAGTAATGAGGAAAGGATTCCCTATTTAATAAATGGTATTGGGAAAACTGTCCAGCCATATGCAGAAAACTGAAACTAGACCCCTTCCTTACACTTTATACAACAATTAACTCAAGATGGATTAAAGACTTAAACGTAAGACCTATAACCATAAAAATCCTAGAAGAAAACCTAGGCAATACCATTCAGAACATGGGCATGTGCAAAGACTTCATAATTAAAACACCAAAAGCAATGGTAACAAAACCCATTGGTTTTGGGTTTTGTTGGACAAATCGACAAATGGGATCTAATTAACTTAAAGAGCTTCTGCACAGCAGAAGAAACTATCATCAGTGTGAACAGGCAACCTACGAATGGGAGAAAATTTTTGCAATCTATCCATCTGACAAAGCGCTAATATCCAGAATCTACAAAGAACTTACACAAATTTACAAGAAAAAAAAAAAAAAATCAAAAAGTGGGCAAAGGATATGAACAGACACTTATCAAAAGAAGACATTTATGTAGCCCACAAACATATAAAAAAAAGCTCATCATCACTGGTCATTAGAGAAATGCAAATCAAAATGGGATACCATCTCACGCCAGTTAGAATGGCGATCATTAAAATGTCAGGAAACGACCGATGCTGGAGAGGATGTGGAGAAATAGAAATGCTTTTACGCTGTTGGAGGGAGTGTAAATTAGTTCAACTATTGTGGAAGACAGTGTGATGATTCCTCAAGGATCTAGAACTAGAAATACCATTTGATCTAGTAATCCCTTTACTGGGTATATACCCAAAGGATTATAAATCATTCTACTGTAAAAACACATGCACATGTATGTTTATTGTGGTGCTACTCACAATAGCCAAGACTTGGAACCAACCCAAATGTCAATCAATGATAGACTGAATAAAGAAAATGTGGCACATATACACCATGGAATACTATGCAACCATAAAAGAGGATGAGTTCCTGTCCTTTGCAGGGACATGGATGAAGCTGGAAACCATCATTCTCAGCAAACTAACACAAGAACAGAAAACCAAAGACCATATGTTCTCAATCATAAGTGGGAGTTGAACAATGAGAACACATGGACACAGGGAGGGGATCATCACACACTGGGGCCTATTGGGGGCTGTGGGGGGATAGAGGAGGAATAGCATTAGGAGAAATACCTAACGTAGGTGACGGGTTGATGGGTGCAGCAAACCACTATGGCATATATATTCCTGTGTAAAAAAACCGCACGTTCTGTACATGTACCCCAGAACTTGAAATATAATAGAAAAACTTCTCCAGGTTGTCCTTATTCATAAGCCATAAATTGTACCTGCTATCCTGGCTAGAGTTATTGAGCCGAGGATGATCAGTGACTGATACAAAGGAGGTCATCTATGGTTTAGCTAGTGGCCAATGATGTGTATAAGTTAAAAAATAGATCACTGTGTACTGATTGATAATTTACCAATGAATCTGATATACGCTGTTGTGAAAATTGCATAAAAATCTTACTTAGGGCTTAATAGTGATAGCAACAGAATAAATCAGTAAAGAAAAAGATTCTTCAGTTGCCAACATGATGGATGGTGGGAAGAGTAAAACACATCTGCTGCTGTTGGGAAGATAGGACAATGAGATACTTGTTTGTATCTTGAAAAACCATCCACTTCACTGAAATCCAGGCTAGTCCTCTTCTGGATACTCTCTCATACTTCCTTACATTTTTTATTGGTCCTTACAATAACTCACAATTGGTTTAGGAAACAGCCACTTGTATCTGTTGTTTGTAACTCAAATGAACTAAACAATCAGAAATTCTCTCAGATGTCAAAGTTATTTAAGAGTACATAAGACTATCTTTTTCCATTGTCTTTCTTTAGTCTCGTTCAGCTACTTATTAAATGGTATTATTCAAAATTATCATAGAACATATAAAATAGTTTTAAAACATTCCTTTTTAATTTTCTAAATAAGTTTAATAATTTATTATTAATTTTAATCAGAGTACATGATGATTTTGTTTTTACTTTCCCAAAGTCAATTCTACCACATTGACTTTGGGAAAGTAAAAACAAAATCATCATGTACTTTGGCTATTATGCCACAATATACAATTACTTACTCCTCTGCCTTAAGTTGCCGAGAAAGATACAAAAGCATAAGCATGTGAAAATACACTACGATTGCCA